AATTAACAGGCTTTAAATTATTAAAATCATAACAAACAACGCCGTTATATAACTATTTTTATAAAATTTAATACATATATTTAATATTATATATTCATATCATTTCTATGTGTGTTTCATAATGTCAGATTGTTTTATTTGCTACACATAATATTACAATTTCGACGTTAGGTAAATATTCTATTACAAGTCACACGAGTAGTTTACACATTTAACGTGTATTTTTGAATAGCTGTTACTCGAATTAATAAATAATTAATTAAATAATTATTCGTAAGTTGTGTGAACTTGTTTGTAAGGAGAAGGTCTTACACAACGAATAATGTATAATATGTAATTGTATTGTTTTTGTGGCATTGAAGCTATTTATCTTATTTTTAATAAAAATAAAAATAAACCAAGTCTGGTATGTTTTCTTACTACCTATTACGCACTACTAAATAATAATGTTGGATTATCTATTGTGACACGTTTAGATAGGTACCTGTTTATTTTTTGGTAGATACATGTACAATTAGTGTTATGCATTGATTTTTTAACATTACAATCAAGTACAGCATTTTGCTATCAAACACAACTTTACCCTATTCATGGCCAATGATTTAATACTGTTTTAAGTATACACATCTAGGGATGAGCCAACATGAGTTGTGTGGCCAAGTATACAACATAAGTGCACAGGACAGTTCTCTCTTATTTGGGGGGGGGGGGGGCAAAAAAATATAGGTACAATTTATTTTTCTAAAACGCTACTCATTTGACAATACATCTAAAGCACTAGCGATACATGCATTATGTTAACACGAAATTGCGTTATTAACTAAATCTATACAAAATAAATTTGTTTTATTAAAAACGAATAATAATACTTTTAACAATATTCCAATAACATACATACAATATCTCTACTGATGGTAGTTTCTATTATTTGCACAGGTTTTTCAATGTGAACCACATTTTCACACATTTAAAAAACAATATAATATCGGAAAATAAAACACAACGTTAACCGATTATAATATTATTTTTTTTTTTTAAATATTAATAACACGGCTTAAGTTAATAATCCCAACACTGTACTCGAGCCTCGGTTATCTACACATGCTATAGAATTCACCCCTGATGGTCCTGAAAGTACCAAGACACAATGCAAAGAAAACTAAGTATAATATGACCTATAAACTTGACAGATGCATCGTGCCGGTGCTTCGGTGAGAATACTGTTTTGAGTCAGAAAAAATAGGTCGAAAAACATATGTAAACGAATAGAAGCCACTCTAAAGACATGAGTCATGGCAAATATAGTTGATAATATGAATATTATAAGTTACAACCGTTATCTTCGATAATACCTGCTTGGTCTTGTACATAATTTGAACACAAAAACTTCAAGTCAGCCCTTAAAGGAGTCAGCCTTCAATAATTATACTATTTTCCTGTCCAAATTAATTCTTATTTTTTTAGATGTTTGTTCAAAAAAAATGTAAAATACGGTCACATACCATATTACTATTATTATTGTTTCAAACAAAGAGTTTAAATGGTTTCTTTTCAATTTTCTGTTTCTATTTTGGTGCCTGGACCCTATTTTTTCATACCAAAAATTTTACCACGATTTCAGGCATTTGAAAAAATGATAAATACAATATGAACTTGTACTCCAGCAAAAAGATAAATTGATAAATCGATAAATTGATACACCTATTTATATTGTAAAAATAATATTTAGCATAGGCACAATTAGAAGGGAGGACTTAGGGAGTATTAGCACCCCCAATTTTAAAATAAGCACCCTCTAATATTTTTCCTATTTATGTGTTAACACATTTGCTTATAAAAATGTTTAATATTATGAAAAAAACCTAAAGGTTATCGCAGAGTTGATAACAGTATTTATTATTCAGTACCTATTGTTTATCAACTTTAATTATCTATCACTTCCATTGGTTCTGCGTCAGAGCAAAAAAGATTTGGCTTAGGGTTTGAATGAGACAGGACGGACTTTGCCAATACTTTAAACAGAAAAATATATAAAAAATGTAATTAACATAAACAAAGTTATTGACACATTTTCAGAACAAGCAAAGCGTACAACTCTTGTATAAAAAATACTTGTAAAATGTAATATTGTATATTATATTTTTATTACTTTTTGTTATAAAATTAAAATGCTAATAAACTAGCTAAATGTGTTAAATGTTAAATTGATGTATGATATAGAACATCCTTGCTCGAAAACACATTAACCTCGTTAATTAAAATTAAAATTAAAATACATGCGTACTTAGAAGAAAACTTTGGGGGGTGTCCAATTTTTTTCTGTACTACCACTAAAAACTTACTTATGTTAGTAAATATTTATAACATAATTTTTTTATATAATTGTAAATTAAAGATTTTTACTCACATAATTTAATTATATTATATTCTTTGTATACTATGTAAATTTTGTTTATAACAAAACTAAATTAAATCAAATTACAAAATCAAAAAGTCTTTTTTTTTTTTTATTAAGTTCTTATTTAGTTAACAATTTGTTAAGATTTAACATATGGTTGAATGAAATAAGTTTCACCGTAACATTATTATTGTTAAGTTCTATTTGTTAAGTTAACAAAACGTCAGTTAGGTTACCTAAGCGGTTACCTCGATTCCAACGTTCTCATTGGTTATTAAGATATGTGATAACTGATAAGTGATTGTATATTTTAATTTGTCAGTTTGTTATTATTTGGCATTTAATTTTACTTTCTTTTAACGTTTCAGTTTATATAAATAATTTATATATTATAATTGTTTAGACAGTCTATACCTTTCTAAAAATAGTTTGTCATCAGTCATTAAAATAATTTTTTTCTATTTTGAAGGCCTAAAAGAACAAGTAGGTAGTGGTAAGAATTATTTCCATTGTTATACTCAGGACAGGCAAGACGTAATAATATTATCTAAATTAGGTATAAAATACAAATAAATAATAAATTTCGATATTTGAGCTTATAAAGCTAGTCTGTGCCATTCCTTTCTACCTAAGCTACATAAAATAACTTCTGCTTACCTAATATAGAGTTATCGAAGGTGTCTTTTCTATTGTTTCCCTATAAACTCAATATAAAGAAGTTCCTCATCAAATATGTAAATCATTAACATACATTATTACTAGTATACTCAGTCAACAAAAATTATAAGACAATTTCTGAACTATAATAATATAAATATTATATATAAGTACTACTATACATTGTAACATGGCGATTAACTTTTTAATAAGCCGATTTCGGGTGATTAATTTAACAATGTGTTAAGGCTAACAAATCTCGATGAAACCCAATTTTCACTAACTAGTTGTTATATATAATTAACAAATATTGGTGAAACCGGCTGTTGATGCATATTATGGGTAGTTTTTATATTTTAATTACAATAACAGGGTCAAAAGTTCATAAACCTCAATAATATGTAATAACCACTGAGTACTCCAAAAAAAAAAAAATGTTATTTAAATAATGTACAATAAGATCCCACTAAATATATATTTTTATTGATGTGAAGCCATTCTGGAGAGGGGATGGGATGGTAATTATGTGTGAATGGGAATTGTTTTACAATAAGTTCGAAGGGATGGATGATTTAGGAACGATGTTAAGAGGAAATTGGTAATTACTCAGAGATTTTTGATAAGAGAATCAGCTGATAAGACCGAATGACAACACTAACTAAATTACCGCGTCATAAATATTAAGTAACTTGTATACAGATCAAGTATGTAAATCCAATATAATTACAAACTAAACGGTTTTTAAAAATTAAAGGAAAAACTTAATATTGTTAAACTCGTTCTTTGACGAAAAGCGTTGAAAACGATGTGACTTTTTTTTTTAAGTTAAATTATCAACATGTTACGTTGCTGAAACCGGCCGAGGGTATTTCTCGTTAGCGGCTTGAATAGAGGGGGGTGGGGGGGGGGGTTATGTGAAAATCCGGATGATGTCTTACGATAATATTATTATTATTATTATTATTTCAAGTATCTTTTTATTATTATTATGTAAAAAAAAAATTACAAATACTAGTAGGCGAGTAACAAATATAATAATAAGGTCTCTCTCTCCCTCTCTCTTTCTCACTATACAACAGCTCTACAGGAACCAGATCGCATTTTTTTTCCACCGCGGAACGTCGAAAACCGTTTTCTCCGCCACCCCTCCCCGCCGCCCGCCATCACCTCCACCTCCGCCTCCTACACCGGCGGCGGCGACCCCACCGGTGTGTGTGGCAGGCAGGCAGGCAGGCAACGGTGCACGATCGACTTCTTGGGACCGTTCGGGCGGCGGCGGCGGCGGCGGTGAGCTTGGTGAAATTTCCGGTTAACCGTGTACTGCAGCAGTACACGAAACGTACGGCGCACAATCGCGGGATTCCAGTGAAACGGTTCCGTGCTTACTTGCACGCGCAAAACAATACCAACAATATTGATGTCACCGCCAACGGAAAGACAACCAGCAATCGATTGTTTGTCATCAAAAAAAAAAAACAAATTATATTATCTCGATAATTTCATTAAACCCGAAGGAGCGGAAAAAAACTAATATATTTAAAAAATGTTTTGAACATTTTCATACCTACGACCACGGCTTGACATGTTAATAATAACCGCGGTCTTTTTTCCCCCGTAGATCACAAAATATGATTATCATAATATCATGTTATCACGGTGGACGGTGAAACGCGACGGCCACAAAATCGATACACGATTGCTAATAATAATATAATTTTACGGTCCGCATAATATACTTGTTATATTTTATTGACTTATAGGTGGTACAGTGAAAATTATAATAATATTATTAAGCGGTCGCGTTTTCAATATGATATCACTATGTTGTGATGACGATCGGCCGTGTTGTAGTGGCAACACTGCGTCCAACGTACATGTATATGTATTGCGGCGGCGGCGGCGGCATGGCCGTCCGTTTCCTAACTGAAAACAATGGCGGCAGTCGTATGACGCGTCTCGCACCGGCATCACCGTACGTTACACCGTCGTCCGCTGTACGCACATAATAATATTATTTGTTATTCATTTATTTTTTTTCAATAATATATTATATTTTTCCTTGTAAACATTTCAACCGTAATTTAACGCTCGTTTAGCCCGTTCGTCCAGAGTGTGGGGAATTTTATATTTTTTTCTTTTAACTAGATCAACATGATTGTCCATCGGTGGCGCGACCGACAACACCGCAGACCGACTAAGGTTTGACCACCGTATCCGTTCCTGTGTTCAAGCTCCTGGAGGTTCTTCTGGATCGGTCTGGGAATCCATCCGGTTTGTCGACAAGACTGATTTGACATCACACGATGACCTGTAAATCCCGTTGACCCATACGGGGCCTGTCGTCATGAAGTGACTTGAAGTAAGTGGTACGCAACGATAAAGTCTGTCAGATACGTTGTCCGTAAACACAATGTCAATTTCAATTACAAACGTTTTCCTCGCCGGTGACGTTTGTACAAATAAGTTAAACGACGCTAGACTTTTGAAATCTTCTTGTTAACGTTAATTTCACCCAACTAATCGGTTCGCAATATGAATCGCTCACACGCTATTTGTAATGTTAGTCAACGTTTTTAATCGTTACAGTTTCATTCAATACTATCGACAGCACCCGATGATAAGTCATGATCTACTCTAATCCTATTGTAAACATTCAAATTTATTGTTAAGAACATTAACACATTTCTTTTACCCACCTTTATCGCTGTTTATAGCTTTTACACTTTATTAATGTAAAAAGTTAACAGAATATCCTAACAAGATACTATGTAAATACAAAGTAACGAGTTGAAAAAAAAAAAGAGATGTTTACATTGGAATGTTTTTATTGTTGAAAATAATTGATCGTTATCATGTGATGTTTATAATTTACCAATTACTACATCATTGTTCTGTTTGTTTCTAGTGCAAATGTAAGTGGCTGATATTAAATCCATACCACTAAACTGGCGAGCTACCACCTGAACTGCGGTCCCGAAGGATTGGACCAAGGTGCATTGTTGGGGGGCGGCTGTGGTGTGTTACAGCAACAATCCGCCGCCCCCGGCATGGCCGATGTCGTTGTCCATAAGCGACAAGCGGTGATCGACAGGTTGAAACGACGAATGGAAGGGTATAGGAGACACAACCAGGACTGCGTTCCCCGCTACAGCAATGCGTTTGCCGAGCAACAAAACGTCCAAGAGACTCTGATGCTCAAACAAAAGTACATGGAAACCAAGAGCAAGAGGAACGTCAAGAAGAACGATAAGAAACCAATCGAAAATGGCAACGCCATGTCGGTAAGTCGATTTGTGCCGTATTCAAATACCTAGTTATATAAATCCAATTTTTAAAACTCTAAATTTTTAAGAAAAACTCAAGTTTTTTTTGAAAGAAACTGATATATTATGAAGTGGGTTTACGGTAGCTTAACGGGCCAAGTGCAATTGCTTGATTCTGATAAATTTCACTTTCATACACACGTGACAATTTTTTCTTTCCATTTAATTTCGGACGTTCGTCTTAAGCGTGTTGTTTATTTTCGGGCTGTTGATAAGTAATTATTGTTTATTTCAAGACGTTTTCTTTTTTGAAATCAATGCATGTACCTATGCAATAACCTATTAGTTTTAGCTATTGCATTTATTTATCGGCACACGTTGTTTAGCCTTTCATAATTGTACATTTCAAGGTTGATAATTGCTGATGTCTGTACGTTCCGGGGACCTGATTGATTGTTGCAATGGAATTATATTATGTGCTGTGGTTTGATAAAAAAACTCTTTATCAGGAGACGCGTTTAATTTCGGTTTTCTATGCCTGAAAAAATGAAATCTTAGATTTGAAATAACGATTTTTATCAATCAATTACCTATGCCGAAACAATTTTGAATAATTATTATAATATAATACATTTGAAAGGTGGTGATCGACAACGAGCCAAAGGGGTTCTCTATTAAAACATTTTTGGGTGTGATTGGCTGACGAAATGGCAATGCAATGCAAAAAATATTCTATTCTATCAACAGTCGATTTAAAATAATAACACTAATGAGACTTAATGTGGAGAAACCGAAGGGGAGGGGACGAGTGTAACCTCTGTTAGCAACCGCTAGATGGCTCGTTTAACAGTGTGTGTGTAACAACAATTATTATTATCGAGTTGCCCATAAAAATGTGTACATAATCGCGACCTTGGTTTTTAAATTTTAAATGCATTTAAAAATCATTTATACGAAATGCGCTTTGTCGAAGAAAAGGTGTGTGCGTGTGTGTGGTCGTAAAACAATATAATAGCCGATGGATAAATAAATCTTATTGGCGGTTTCAAAAACATTAAAAAATAAAACGGAAACAATTTACTCGCTATAATAGTACGAGAGAAATTTAAAAAAAACAAAATGGAATATTATATTTTCTTATCAAAGGCCGTGTTATCATCTCTTATCAGCGGAAACCGCGACAAAAACATTTTCGTCACTTTGTCCCAATAATTAGCACGTCTGGCGGCCGGGGGGAGAGTGGGTGGGCGGCGTGGGGGGGGGAAAGGAGAGATGCACAATATACGTGTAAATTCACCAACGCTGCGTGTGCAGCAGCAGAGAGCTGTTGTGTGTGGTGCATTTCGAGAGGTGGACGACGATGGCCCAGTTAGGATAACAATAATAATAATAATATTGTATGCATGTGTATGATGTGTTGTATACGGCCGCCGCCGGTACCAGTTGCTGTCGGTGAAAGGTAAAAAAAAAAAAAAAAAAAATGATAATAATAATAATAATAAAAGAGTACAATATTATTATGATGGTCGGACGAAAGAAATAACACAAGAAAAAAAAAACGGGGATCCTCGATATTATAATAATAATTATTATTTAGGTTTAACGGAATACACTGGCTATGGCTATGATGACCGTGTGTGCCAACCGCGTTCGGTTGCATTTGACGTGTGGACGGCGCGCGGCCGGCCCCCCTTCGGGTGTGTGTGTTATTTTTCCACATAGTAAAACAACAACGGTGAACATAATATACAATATATAAATTTTTTTATTTTAATTTATAAAACGACGAAAAATATCGCGCGTTTAACCTTTTTTATCGCCACGGTGTCACCGCCCGACGAATTAATAACAATAATTATTGTCATTACCCGTATTGCGTATGCGTTGTGCGCGCGCAATTTCAAATATTTCACCGACAGATAAAAAATGCATAATATACATGTACACAATTTGACCAACGTACAGCGTGTGTAGACACACGTATTATACGTCATATGTATGATATGTGTGTGTTTATGAAATTCAGGCTTATCTGCTGTAGTCTTGGATTTTGCCCTTGAGCCACCGTCGCGGCCGCCGCCGCCGCCGCCGGTATAGGACACATGCACACGCGCGTTAACGATGATTGTGTTCGCGTTAAATATGCGCGAGTAGAAAATATTGTATTTATTTATTATTTTTTTTTTGGGGGAAAAAATCAAAATATTAGTAGCCGTTTTCTTATTGTCGAACACTTGAACACACACACACACAAGCAAGACTAGGTCGGACGGCGTTTTTGCGGCGTTAACGTGCAGATGGCGTTTCGCTTTATCCTTGGCCGTTTTTCCGCTTAAAATAAAATATTGTAGTAACGCGGTAAAATTGGGTTTTTTTTTTTTTTTATCAACGTCCTTCCGTTTTTAATGGGTAAATAAAAACAACGTTTGTGTGTGTGTGTGTGTGTATCCTTGTCGTTCGTTAACGACGGCACTTATTGTTGTTGTTATTATTGTTTATGCGCCGCTATTAGGCCTTCGATTTCAATATGTATATATATATAACGATGATGATTTAGCGATATCGGGTGTGTGTCTCTCTCTCTATTGTTATCGTCGTATCATTTCTGTGCGGCGCAATAATTATCCTTGCAAGTGGCTCGTGCGTAATTCGTGCTCGGTTTTTAAAAAAAAAAAAAAAACGAGCCATTTTTTTTTTTTTTGAGCTTATATGATGATTTTTTTTTTTAATATTTATTTATTTAGTTAATAGCGGTAGTAGTGTAGTAGTCTGCGGTGGCAACCGGTTGAACGGCCGCCTCGATCCCGTTGCTCGCGCGATTGACATGTGCCCCGGCGGTCGTGTAATCGGCTCGTAAAACCGACGGCACACGACGGCCGCGCGCCAGTGGACGACTATGGCACGGTGGCGGCGGTGTCGGTGGCCGCCGCACCGTACTGTTTTTGGTGGGAGCTGCGTGTGGACAAAGTGGAGGAGGAGGAGGAGGAGGTCGTCAACAGCGGCGGCGGCGGCGGCGTTGTGCGCCCACGCGCGGCCGTCGTACGCGAGCGAGACAAACGCCGCACACGCGTGTGTATTTTATATCAATAAGGCGCGCGAATACAAAGATGGCCGCGTAAACGAGTTGTACGCCGACCGCGCGTCCGATGCTGCATTATTGTTATTATATAATTTGTTTTAAGATTATTACATCTCGCCGTCTTTTTTCCGCGAGATCCACTTGTTGTAGACGTGTAAGACGTGTACCGGGCACATGCGCCGGCGGCAACAAGTTGTCGCGCCACGCGAGCGCGCGCGCGCCAACGATATTGTAGATATTTTCTGACGGAAAACAATATATATATATATATATAATATGACTCTGCAATCACCGCTTACACTACCGGCTTTTAGCGCCGCAAGGTTACAACACGTTTCTATTACCGCGGTGATGGCACACATCACCCTCGCCGCCGCTCACCGTCGGGTACGAATCACCCGATTCGGACGCGATCACACGCGGGCATCACCCGCGCGCGGATCGATATGGGTTTTTGCGCTTAACACTGCGGCTCGGTGTCCGTATTTATTTGTCATCATAACCGCGTGTGTCGTCCGTCCTTATTTTTGTATATTATACTATTATTGTGTGTGTGTGTGTGTGTTTGTGTCAAGGGTGTTTAACCCTCCGGATTATTCGCGTACGACGACGGCGCGACGGACCGTGATTCAGATGGAGGGGGGGGGGGTGGACGAGCGCGTGGGGAAGGTGATGCGGCGGCGGCGTTGAATCGATACCGATCTCTCATTCTGTGCCGCGTCCCCTCCTCCTCCTCCTCCTCCTCCGGTGCCACCGTCCGGCAGCGGTTCGCGTTCATCGGTGGCTGGCGCGCACCGTCACCGTCGCCGTGCTCTCCTCGCGCGCCGCCCGAACCTGTGATTTTGACATACGCGACTCGGCGGCGCACGTTGTGGACGCGCGTGTCCGCGACGTCGCCGTTACCCGTGCGGCGAGCAACGTCCCCGCCGCCACATGCCTTCTACCGCCTACCGCTATATATATGTATGTATATAGCGTTTTCAATACCCGTGTATCGTTATCATTTAGCCGTCCAATAGCGAACCGTTCGCCCGCCGCGAAGACGCCGTCCACAGCGCCACCGCCGTACTCGGCTCTGTTTATGTGTATACAGGGTGATTACGTTGTGCACCGTTGTTTTGACTAATAATTCGGCTCTGTTGGCAACGCGCGATAACTCTCAGTCGAAACGCTTAGGTTCTAGTTCAGTCTTAATTATATTCAGTGCGTTTGTATTTCCGGTGTTGTATTATTTCTTCGGAATAATAACAATATGTCGTCCTTCTAAATTGTTATTATTAACATAATAATATGATAATTATATTAATTTATGTCGCCCGATTAAAAAAAAAAACGTTGGCTGAAATTGCACTGAAAAACGATTTAAACAATATCTTGTTAATATTATTTTACTCGGTTATTAATATATAATATAATGTAATAACGTCGTTATACCTGAGGCGGCCGTCTTGGTATAGAAAAAAAACCTTTTGATATTTGGGTGTGAGGGGTCGGTCGATTTCCGGCCTGTGTGTGTGTGTTAACGTTGACAAAATGGTTTATACCCAAAGCGGTTGTACCGTTTTTGTGTTTTACACACACACACACACACACACTGGCGTTCAAGTGTTGTTTGTTGTGTGTATTATTATAATGGAGGAATCATCATCCTTATGTGCATTTATACAATATTATTATTATATTATATCCTCGTTGTTGTCGTTGTCGCCGCCGCCGCCGCCGTGTGTGTCTCTTCATTGTGCCTCGACAAGATAACATGTACACGGTGTGTGTGTTCAAGACCTTGAACTTGTGTTAACCCCAAAAAACTGTAGCATGCATAATCGAACAGGTATATGTCCGGTTGTGTGTGTATGGTGTTCGACACTATAATGATAGTATTATATTTAAACGACAAAGGTTTTTGGAGAACCGAGAGACCGAGCAAACCCGGTTGCTA